TTCTCCAGCTCATTTTACAGATAAGGGAAGTGAGGCAAACAGGGTTAAGTGACTTGCCCAGGGTCAAACTGCTAGTAAGAGTCTAAGACCAGATTTGAACCCAGGAAAATGAGTCTTCCTGACTCCAAGCCTGGGACTCTATCCACTGTACCACTTAACTGCCCTTATCTTCATTTTACAGATGAAGAAACTGAGGCAGACAGCAGTTAAGTGACTTGACCAGGGTCACACATCTAGTAAGTGTTTGAGGTCAGATTGAACTCAAGTCTTCCTGATTCTAGGTCCAGTGCTCTATCTACTATGCCAGCTAACTGCCTCTGAAAATACAGGTAGAGAAAAGACCTAGGACAAGTCTTAGAGGGGGAGAGGCAGAGACAATCATATTTAGGGAGTAGGAAGAAAGTAATGAACCAGTAAAGCACTGGTCAGACAAATGAGAGAAGAACTGAGAGAGAGAAGTGCCACAGATGCCCAGGGAGGAGAACGTATCTAGAAAGAAGTGATGGATAGTAAGCAGTGTCAAATGCTTCAGAAAGCTCATGGAGGATAGGGATTGAAGAAAAGACTATTAGATGTCTCAACCACGTCACTAGTAAGCTTAGAGGGAGCAGTTTCAACAGAGTGTGGACTCTGAAGCCATGTCATGAGGGATCTTCATCAGGATGTCCTATAGACATCTTAAAATCAACATATTCAAAATGGACTTCATTATATTTTCTTCCAAACCCAACCTTCCTCCACACTTGCCCATGTCTCCTTCATATATCATCAATCTTCCAGTGACCCAAACCCAAAATCATTCTTGATTTGTCTCCTTCATCTCCCATGTCCACTCTGGAGTATTCTACCTTACATCTCTCACATCTATCCTCTTCACTCCACTCACATGCCCACTATGCTAGTTGAGGCCTTTACTACTTCTCACCGAGACTATTACAAAATCCTTTTAATTGATTTTCCTGCTTTTAGTTTCTCCTCTCAGGGGCAGCTAGGTGGCGAAGTGGATGGAGCACCGACCCTGAAGTCAGGGGGACCTGAGTTCAAATCCGGGCCTCAGACCAAACTCTTGACACTTACTAGCTGTGTGACCCTGGGCAAGTCACTTAACCCCAATTGCCTGAAAAAAAAAAAGATTAGTTTCTCTTCTCTTTTATCCATCCACAAAACTGCAAATTGATATTCCTAAGACCTGGATCTGACCATTTCACCTCCTTACTGAAAAATCTTCAAAAGCTCCCAAGTGCCATTTAAGGTCCTGGACAATATGGCTCCCACTTGCCCTTTCAGCCTTATTTCATATTGTTCCTATTCCATTCAAAGTGGTCTGCTTTCTGTTCCCCATAAATAACATTCCACTTCCTGCCTCAGCACCTCTGCATATGTCTGGAATGTGCCACTTCTTCACCTCTGCCCCTTAGAATTCTTAGCTTCCTTCAAAGCACCACTCCATGTGCCACTTATTATGAAAAGGCTTTCCAAATTCTCTCAGTTGTAAATACTCTCTTTCAAAATAATTTTGTACGATGGGGCCATCACATAGTAGGTACTTAATAAATGCTTGTTGACTGACTATATACTTTTCTACGTCTACTCTGTCCCCAACAGAAGGTAAGGATGTGTTTGTCTTTGTATTCCTGGTATCTAGCACAAGGCCTCCGATAAATGTTTGTTAAATGCATGTTGTTGAATGGATGGTGAAGCAGAGACAGTGAATGTAAATGACTCTGTGGATAACTATATAGATAAATTCCTAGGAATTTTCCAGTGAAAAGAAAGAGAGAATATAAGACAAAAATTTAAGGGGATGGAGGACTCAAGGGAAAGTTTTGTAAGGTTAATGGAGATTCTCAACACTTTTGTAGATAGCAAAGAAGGAATTAGTAGATAGGGAGAGGTGATAGAACTTTAGAGAGAGAAAGGAGAACACTAGCTGAAGCTAACTTCCTCTCTCTGATAGTGATATGGGCTGTGTCTCTTCAGCTGTGGGCTCCAGAATCTCTAGGTGGTATTGCCCCAACCACTATCATTGCTGGGAGATTTCTAGTATAACCTCAGTGCCAATATAGCCCTGAGTCGCTGGCTGAGCAAAGCAACTGACAAGAAGAGCACAGATGTTTGGTGCCAAAGTCAAGGGAGAACAAAAAAAAAAGAAGGGGGAGAGAGGGAGAAAGAGAGAGAAATGAAAAGCCATTGTTGGGACAACCAGCAGGACAGTTTAACTAGAACAGATAGTGTGTAAAGGGGAATAATGTGAAATAAGAGAGGAAAGGTAGATGGGAGCTAGATTGTAGAAGGCTTTAAATACCAATCTGTGAATTTTCTATTTTATGTATAAGGCAATGGGGAGCCATTAAAGATGTTTCTTTGTGTGCATGAGTACACATGTGTGTATACATGTGTATAAATGTTTACACACACAGCAAATGCTGTGACTAGAATCTATCACCACAAAATTTACTGATATTGAAATACTACTAGATAATAAATATAGATAATTTAGGCCACTACACAAAACAGTGGATTATATACCCTTCTATTGACAAAGAATTATTTGCATTTAAATATCGAATATGTAAATGCAGTACATAGGATACAGATCATTTAAAATTCTGTTTAACATTTTTATCAAGACTTGGTTAAAGGTATAGATGGCATGCTTATCAAATTTGCCAATGATAAAGCTAGGAGAGGGGTAGTTAACACACTAGAAAATAAAGTCAGGATCCCAAAAGATCTTGATAGGTTAGAGCATTGGGCTGAATCTAATGAGATGCTTTCCATACAGATAAATGGAAAGCCTCATCCTTGGATATAAAAAATCAGCTTCACAAGTATAAGATGGGGGAAGCATGGTTAAACAATAGTTGATATTAAAATGTTTGAAAGTTTAAGTGAACTGCAAGCTCAGCATGAAATCAGCTCATGCATTATGGCAGCCAAAAAAGCTAATGAGATCTTGGATTGCATTAAGAAAGCATAGCTTCCAAGAATACACAGGTGATAGTTCCACTGTACTCTGTCCTCATCAGACCTCCTCTGAAGTATTGTATTCAATTCTGGGCACTACAGTTTAAGTCGGATATTGATAAGCTGGAAAGTGTCCAGAATAAAGCAACAGTATGGTGGAAGATCTTCATTCCACATCATATCCGTCGGTTAACAAACATTTATCAAATGTCTATTATGTATCAGCCTCTGTGCTAGTCACTGAGAATACAAATGAGAAAAAGAAAGACAGTCTTTGCTCTCAACAAGCTCACAATCTGATGGGGAAGACAATGTACAAAAAGAAGCTGAAAAGAGGAAGGTAGGGGAATGCTGAGAAAGAAGGTACCCACCCCACCTATGGGAGTACGGTAGAGTCCAGTCCACGGAGTGCATCTTGTAGGAAATGAAGAGTTGCTGCCCTGGGAGCCCTCTTTAAATGGAAGCTTTGGGAGGAATTCTCTACTCTGCTTTTCAGCCCTCGAATCAGAGAGGCAGAGGGTATGATGGCTTTGAAGAAGTGAAATGACCGAAGCTAATGTAGTCTCATAGGATTTTGAGTCTCCTGGTGATGAAGTTTTCTGAAAGCATGATCATGGTAGAGTCCAGTCGAAGGAGTGCATGTGACAGGAAATAAATCGATAGATCTAAGAAACCAGACAGGCCTTGTCTGCCACATGATAGCCATGTAACTTTGGGCAAGTCACTTAACCTTTAATAACTTCAATTTGTCATTTATAAAGTGGGTATAATAATATTTGTACTACCTATTCCACAGTACTATTGTAAGCATCAACTCAGATTATATGTTAATTTCACATAATTACAACACCATATTCTCATTCCTAATCAAATATCTTGCAAATGCATTGGAGAACTTAAATTAAAGATTGAAGGATGAGCAAAATCCATCACCACTTCTAGACAAAAAAATGCATAAATGGTATGAACAACTGATCACAGGGCAGCAGAATTATTTACTTATGTGAAGTATAGTAGCATACATATACATGCATATATGAGTTTCAGTAAATGATACATCTACACATACAAACCAAAATTTGCATAGAAAAACAAATATAAATTCTCTTAGAGATCTCAACAGTTTTCAAGGATGTAAATAAGTACCAAATATAAATATCCAGTCTTAATCTCTCCCCTGAACTTCCTACAACGTATCTTCTCTTGGATGTCCTGTATTTGTCTCAAAATCAACACGTCCAAAATAGAACTTATTTCTCCCCTTCCAAAACCTATTCCATCTCCAAACTTCCTTATTTCTGTTGAGGAAACATACTTCCAGTCATCCAAATTCTAATCACAGAGCCATCTTTGATCCTTCCACCTCCTTCATATTCAGTCAACTGCCAAAGCATCTCTGTCTCCTGCAGCCTTGCCTTTACACAGTTGTACTATATTTCCTCATTATTTCTTCCTGTTAAAGTCCTCAGCTCCCTTCAAAGTTCTGATGAAGTGCCACCTCCTCCATGCGACCTTTCCTGATTCTGTCTTTCTGCTCCTTGCTCTAGTTGTCGGTGCCCTTCCCTCCAAAATTATTTTTTATATGCTTATCTGTCTACATATTGTCTCTCACCCCACAAAAGGGAAACTCTTCAATGACAGATAACAGGGACTATTTCTGTTTTTCTTATTTGTATTCAGAGTGCCTTGAATTTAACAAGTGTCTATTGATTCTACCTACACGAAGTCTCTTCTGTCTGTCTCCTCTCCACCTACAGATTCACTGTTCTAATCCGGTACTGTATTACCTCCTCATTGGGCTATTACCGTATCCTCCTAATCTGTCTCCAGGATTCTCCCTTCAAACCATCCTAAACATAGCTGGTAAAATGATCTGAAAAACACAACTCACCATGTCACTCCCTTGCTCAAAAATCTCTAGTAGTTCCCCATTGCCTTAGGAGAAAATATAAATTTCTTAGTCTGGCATTGAAGACCCTCCACAATCTGATTCCCACCGACTTTTCTAACTTTTTTTTCTTCATACTACTCACCTTCATGAAGTTTCTGTTTCTTGAACTCCCCAACTTTCATACCTTATGCATTCTTATCATGCCCTTTGCCATGTCTGGTATGTATATTTCTCAATTTCCCTTCTCAGAATCTGTCTTCTTTCCTTTACAGCTCAGCTCAGGTGCCACCCTCCCCTTTCATGATGTCTCTCTCTGATTGCCTTGGGTTGTTACAGCTTTCTCTTCCTCCACAGTCCAAATAAGTCTTAGACTTATTTATGTACACTTTGTTATCTTCACAGCAGTTCCTTTACGCCAAGGACTTTCACATTTTTGTCTTTTGTTCCCCAGGGCCTTGTACTTAGTAGGCACTTAAAATGGTTGCTTAAATCAAAAGTGCTAAGTTGTTGAAGGGGCACCATACTTAGTAACATGCTGTTAGTAAATCAATCATAAGATACAGGTGAACACAATATATGTAGCACTAGATAATTGTTTTTGCCAACGTTATTGATATTTTACTCAACTCTATTTGAAAGATGAAAATCTTTCAGATTCTGAAAGGTCACTTGGCATTCAAGAAACAGATATAGAGAAATTTAAATCTACTTGTCAAATAGCACAATGACTAACCTGAGGCTGAACATAGGTTCATAACTTCCAATTTTTAACTGAACACTAACTAAATCAAATGTTATAGCTGAATGTCACATGTCAATTGAGCAGGAATTAAAAAAAAAAATTTACATGCCTACCCAAAAGGTTCAATTCCAGTTTCATGACTGAATAAATCTAAGGTTTTCCTATCTGTTAGTGTTGTTGCTAATTTTGTTTAACAGTACAATCATCTTTAATTCCAAGGATCCATGTTCTGATGGCTTTTCCACTGGGACATATATTTGGAAATGACATTTATTCTCTTCTAATCATATCTGACATTTATAAAGTTAAGGTTTGCAAAGCACCTTGCATACATCATCTCAATTGTTCCTCAAGACAGGTCTCCCCATTTTATGGGGGAAGAAACTGCTGCTTGGAAAGATTAAAGGAACTTGCACAATTGGTACTCATTAGACATAAGATTTTAACCTATATCTTTTCTAATACCAAGTGTAGGGCTTCATCCATTATACCAATGCTAATCCCAAGTAGGAAAAGTAATTCTCACTTCATTAGGGCAAAGAAGTAGATTTAATTCTGCCAGTGCTAAGTAAAATTTCCATCTTTTGATGCATTTAAGCAAATACAGCTATACTTATTTTGTAGATTTGGTTCAAACTGAACTGCAAAACATATTCCTGCCCTCATCTTTCCATTAGAAATAAGTTCCTCTTAAAAGTCTACAGTTTAAGGTGCTGTTTCCCCAAGCAGGCCACAACTTTCCAAATAGCCACATCTTCAGTTCAACAAGATGGTATCATGCCTAGGCAATATGTTTTGAATAACTGGGTTTCTGTGTGACCTTGGTATTCAGTTTCATTCCTTTTATCTAAAATGTACCCTGCCTATCCAGAAGTCTCATAATAAATACTATTTCCTTCCTTTTTAATAAACCTACCCAAGGTTTTTTAAAAATTTCTTTGGACTGAGAGGGGAGAAATAGATCAGAGTCATAGGGATACAGACCTCTTCTTTTTTTCTTGGGGTCAATCAACAAGTATTTATTAAGCGCTCATTGTGCAAAGAAAGAAAACATTATCCCAATATTCTAATGGGAGGGGCGGGAGGAGAAAAGTATGTAATACACTGCATGACTATAAAATTAATTCGTACAAAGTAGTTAAGTACAAGGTAGTCTGGGAGGGAGCCTGCTAGCAGTTTGCTGCCTCTGGCCTCAGTTTCCCCATCCTGGTTTTAGAGGGGGCCCATGCCATGCCTTTATTTATCCAGATTAAAAGACCCTCCCAGTCTTCCTCCTTTTTTTTTTTCTTTCTTAATTCCAGACTCCATGCCCAGCTATCTCCTAATGCAGACTGCGACCCGGAGGCGAGGGAGGCACGGCCTTGGCCTTGGGCCTGGCTGCTGGGAAGGGCGGGCAGGACCCGCAGGGGCCCCGCTCCGGCTCCTCCTCGCGACGGGAGCCTGACCGGCTTGGACAGACAGGGAAACTGAGGCCGGGAGCGCGACGCGGCGGGCCGAGGCGAGGCGTCCGCTCCCTCCCGGCCCTCCCGCCACTTCCTTTGTCCGCCCTCCCCCGCTGGCTCCTCCTCGTCCTCTTCCTCAGCCGCCGGCGGAGCGGCTGACGCGGCCCGGGAAGAATGCGTTTCCGGAGGGAGCGCGGGGCTGGGCCCGCGTGGGGAGTGGGGGCGGAGGGGGCAGCGACGGGAGGGAGGCGGAGGGAAGTGGGGAGGAGAATGCGGATTGGCTGGCGGGAGGAGGAGGAGGAGGAGGAGGAGGGCGGTGGGGGGCGGGGCCCCGCGGCGCCTTGCTGAGGGGGAGGTGGCCGAGGGAGTGCCTGGCCCCTCCTCCCGCCCCGGAGGAGGAGCCGCAGCCGCAGCCCGAGCTGCCACCGCCCGCCCGCCCGCCCTCCGGGAGAGCCGGGGAAGCAGCTCGGAGCGGCCGCGGCAGCGAGAGAGCCAGGCCGGGCCCGGAGCACGCGGCCCGCGGCCCGAGCGTGCGCGCCCCACAGAGCCCCGCGCGGACGGCAGCGAGGTGAGCGGAAACCCGGGCCGGGGACCAGGGGGCGGGGGGCGACGGGGCTCGCCCGGGGCGCGCGTGGCGGCCCGGCCCGCTCTTTGTGTCGGGAGGGAGCGAGCGCTGTGGGGGTGGGGACTGCCGGGCGTCGTCCGCATAAGGCAAGGAATGCCTGCCTTGGGGCCAGGGGAGAGCCGGCGGGGCGCTCGCTCCGGTCCCGTCCTCCCCTCGGCGCCTCCTGCCTCGCCCTCCGCCCTCCTGCGGCTGTCCTCCCCCTCCCCCTCCCTTCGTCCACCTCCCTCCCCCACTTTTCTCCTGGCCTTTTCCTCTCCCGCTCTCCTTCCTTGCAGCCCCACTTCAGCTCCCTCTTTTCCTCTGCTTGTCCTCCACCTTCTCCTCCTCTTCTGTCCTTCTCCCACTTCCCCTTTCTTTCCTCTCCTTCTCCCCTCTTTCCCTTTACTCATTTCCCACTTTCTCCCTCTTTCCCTCTACTTCTTCCCGACCTTCTTCTCTTTTTCTCTACTTCTACTCTACCTTCCCCCTCTTTTCCTCTACTTCTCCCCACCTTCTCCCTCTTTCCCTTTACTTC